TGTGTGTTCAGCCTGTGACAACTCAAGATAAGGACAGTGAGATGACTAATGTTTTTCATCCTAGAGCACTAAGAAACCAGCTGGTATTAAATCTATACCACTGTCTGTACTCTTTGGTCACTTTTAAAAACAGATAAAACTGGCAACACTGACATTGTTTTTACTTCTTCCTGACTGTCGGTCAGTTTCTGGTTATGATGATGTAAGAAGTAAATGTAAACAATATACTCCTGAGGTGAAAATAGAGCACTGGAAAATTCCCCTTTGTCACATAATTATTAAAATGCCTAAAATCAACAAATTCTGGAATATAATTTGCAACTGTAGTGCATTTAAGGTTCATTTTAAATTTAACATCAGTGTATTCCCTTCTGCCCTTTTGTGAGCACTTACATGATCTGGAATATAGTTCTAATGTTATAAAAACTGAATATTGAATTATATATAGATTAAAATGATATTTTTAATTGGTTACGGAGATTATTTTAATTATTGATAATGAATCTAATGCAGGACTGCCCCTGTGCAAAACCTAGATTCACACTGTGTGTACTGGAGTGTACTCTCAGTGGTCTCTCCTCCTCCCAGACTTCCTTGTGGAGGTCCAGCACTCCTGGGGACACCCAGCGTCTGCTTGTCACATCCCACAGAGGGGAACAGTAGGTGATGACACTGGAGGGGGTGACCCCATTAATCTCCTTGGCCAACATGTCTCTTGACCTGTGCTCCAGGCACCCCATTGCCAAGAAGTGTTCAGCCCACAGCCTGTTATGATTCTGTCTCTAGGACTGCACAAACCACCTGGTTCATGATTGCACTCATGAATCCTGCATTCATGAATCCTTTTCCACTGCCTTGTAAGGCACTGTAAAGTTATTCCAGATTTTCACTTTCCACACAGCCACCTGAAAGTAGTGACAAAGGAGTGTGTCCTCTATTATGGTGTACTGTGATTTGGAGTGCAGAAAAGTGACATCTGGAGAGCTCCGATAAATTATTTTTTCTGAGGAGGGGACGTCTGCTTATCGATGGAAGTGATCTGTTGTCGGCCTTTACTTCATAATTGTTTCTGTTTGCAGCAGTTGCTAGTCCGGAATCGTTTTTAATGGATGACAGTGCTCGATCTCATTGACGAGGCTGGTAAACTACTTCACTGTAGATGATTTAATCCTCTTGCATCACATAGAAATTTAACAGAACATTACACAGCATGTCTGCCACATGGTGGAGCAAGGGTTGGTATGGTACCGCATTACAGCACTGGGACCCTGGGTTCATCGTCTGTGTGGAGTTCACATGTTCTCCCTGTGTTCCGGGAGAATGTACAACACATCCGTTTTTTTCTATGGATGCTCCGGTTTCTTTTTGCAGACCAGAGTCATACTGGTAGGTTAATTAGCGTATTCCCATAAGCTAAATCGGCCCTGGTGTGAGTGTGTGCACCGAGGAGCACTGCCATCGCAGCTAGGGTGTATCCCGCCTTGCGCCTGTTGCTTGCCTGGATAGGATCCGGCTCCCCCGCGACCCTGTATTGGATAAAGTGGTTACAGCATTTCTGATTACAACACAACATTGATGGTATATAACGGGATACTCTGTGACTACCATATTTCTCTATTTTTCATTTTTTTACCGGTTTACAACAATTTTCCACTGA